TATTCTTATGCATATGGTCGTGTGTGTCTTTAGTGTCTACGACAGATGGGGAAACTCATGTCGGAGTGCTGGGCTCACAATCCAACTTGTCGTCTCACAGCCCTAAGGGTGAAGAAGACTCTTGCGAAGATGTTAGAGTCCCAAGATATCAAACTGTGACAGAGAGTCCACAGAAAAGATATCATCTCCCAGAGTCTCATCATTACCACTGGCACAGGCCACTCAAGCTGGCCAGAAGAAAGGGAAGAAAAAAAGAGAGACTGTGAATAATAGAACAAATATAACTGACAGGGAGGATGAGTGATAGAGATAATGGTCACCGTAGGGCCAGAATAATGATATATACCAAAAAATTTATTATATCAGGGGACATCTGCTCTACCATTGTCTGAGGCGCCTCTCCCTCAGTGTTCAGACTGTGCTTTCTGTGAAAGCTAAGTGGTTTCTGGTTCCAGACTGTTCAGGGGGCCTTGCAGGACTAAAATCTGGAGGATGCTCTTGCGCTGCTCCTCTAAAGCCATATAGCAGTATTCTATGGGCAGTCTTTTGTACTGTCAAAGCTGCTTTGTGTGTGTGTGTTTTGCTGTTTTGTTTTTTTCTGAGTCAGCCGCTGCATGCTGTGATATCACAGTGGACTTATGACGATGATAGTCATCCATTGACCTCAGTGTAGAAGATGTGGATTCATACCATTATTATTATTGCTGAACAAACAGAAACATGATTAATATATATATAAAAAACAAAAAATATATAATACAATATAAACATATATATATATATATATATATTATTATAGATATATATATATATATATATATATATATATATAGATATATATATAGATATATATATATAGATATAGATAGATAGATATAGATATATATAGATATATATATAATAGATATAGATATATATATAGATATATATAGATATAGATATATATATAGATATAGATATATATATATAGATATATTAAACAAACAAATATACATGCATACACATACACACACTCAAGGTGAATCAAAAAAGAATCATCTGATTTCTGATTTCAGTGTGCTTTAATTCAACAGCCGGAGACAACAGAGACAATTTGTGAGGTTCATGTGGTTGTTTTTGTAGTTTGACTATCGTATGGATATATACCATCCGTCCATATTTAGCCTTTTAGTTTAAAATGTACAGGATGCCTTTTGAAACCAGATGATTCTTTATAACCTGTGTATATATATATATATATATATATATATATATATACACATTTGTGTGTGTATGTATGTGTATATATACGTACAACCTCTTTTTAGATCTGGGCTTTGCTATCCTGCATCGTCTCATCTTTCTGGTCACGTTTTTTTTTTTTCATCCATATGAAGCTGATCTGAAATCTATGTATTATTGCCTTATTGGATGGTAAAATGCATTTTTGATCAGTGTCTATACATATATATATATATGTGTCTCATCCACTCTGCCACTGTAGCACGTGCCTTATTTAATCTGTACATATGTAAGTAATGAAGGTGTATGAGTGGATCTGCAGAACATTCCCTATTAAAAAAAATATTTGAAAAATATATCTTGAAAGCCCATAAGGTTTTTTTGTTTTAACACAGTCTCACAAGTCAAATGGTCGCACTCCATTTTCAATGTTGCATATAAATATAATTTATTATTAGTCTTAAAAATTCTTTCTTACAGTTTGTACAATAACTTGACAGATGAAATGCAAGCCGTTGCGAGGAACATCATGAGTGCAAGAAACAGACAGGCTACATTCTCACTATACACAATATTAATCATGAAGCTGAAGAACAACTAGGGAATGCAAAGGCTAGCCCACTGAGAATGTAGAGATTGTTTCAAAGGGATGCAAAGTTTGCATAGACGGCTTCAAGAAAACTGGGACAACTGCCATTCAAAAAAACAAAACCAACCAAGAACACTTGTATGGGCGCAACTGCTGCTCCATCAAAGGAATGTCACATTTACAGATCATTTTTATGCACAGAATCAGTGTCATCGTGATATTGATGGCTTCTGTAGTGAATGTACAAACATCGTTGTCTGAGTTAAAATCTCTTATCCTCCAAAAGTACGCATGAACGTCGGTTGATTGAGACAATATTTAGATGATCACCTTACATGTCAGGTATTTGGTAAAAAGCAGTTGTTTTCAGTTGGACTGGTCCTACAAAAATATACTGGTTTGATTTCCCTTTCTGCACCATCTCCCTCTTCGCTCTGCCTGGTATCTTATGTGAACGCGACATCATCATGAATGTCACACAAATTTGCATCACTCATGACTTTTCTTTCAGTCCGGCTAATTTCCCATATCCTTTTGTTAACAGGATATACGATATGTAGAGATATGTAGTTAGCCAAATGATCCCGCTAAAAAAAGAAAAGAAAAAGCAAAATAATCACCAATGCAACTCAAAAATATCACCCATAATAGAAAAGCAATAATTATACATAACATGACTAAAAGTATTAATAGTAGTTATAACAACACTTAAAAAACGGTGTAATGATTATGATCGTTGAGTTCCCTCTGTGTTATAAATGTGGCCGACAGAAAGAATAGTTACAGCGCCAGGTGTCCACCAGGTGGTGCTGTAATACAGTCAAACGCAATGAAAGAAGAAACGAAATACGGTTCAGTAACAGACAGCATAAGATACAAAAAAAGACATGTATAAATAGGCATATCATTAAATACTATGTTGTCACAGAACACATACTTTTCCATGGAGTTGCCATGGAGACTGATTTTTGGAGAATGAGACGTTCTTTCGCCGATCTTCCTCCTTTGATCCATTGACCTCTTTAACGCGTGTCACTGTTGTGAGGGCATCATCCACATCTGCACAGTCCATCCGAATAAACCGGAAACATGTTTCCAAGGAAACCATAGCCAAAAATATCAAATCATTCTTACAAGAGAGGGAGAGAGAGAGAGAAAGAACGAGGAGAGAAACAGCCTGAAAATGACTGGCAGAGATTCTTGTTTACTCTCCAAGTTTTCACAACCTTTGTTGCCAATATTTAACTGGGTCATGGCAGGGTAGACCTGGCTGTGACTATCTCCTTACTTCTTTGAGTGTACACACAGGCAGCTTCTGTGAGTGTGTGTGCGTGCATTTGTCATCGAGAATGACTTTTCCTGCTTTTTTTTTTTGTTGTTTTTTGGGGTGTGTGTTGGGTGTGTTTGAGGGGGTCCACCCTCTTTTCATATTCACTTTGTGTCTTCTTCCTCCCTGGAATGTCACTTGTCCCTGGCAGGCAGATGTCAGTGTTCAGTCACCGCGGGAACAAGGCTGTCATGGCGTCCCATCTCCTCCAGTACTTGGGCAAGGCGACTGAGGTTGCCGTCAGGAAAATGCTGGGCCTCCCACAAGTCCAGGATCACTCCAGTGGGGGTGGATTTGGTGGCAAAGTAGTTAAGATACCTAAAAGAGTGATCATGTGAAACGAGAGAGAGGTAGGTTAGAAAAGCAGACAAATGGTTAATAGAGAGGAATGAGTTTGCTTATTAGTAATAAAAAACTCGTTGGTGTGCTGCAATAATCTTTTCATCATCAAATACTTTAATTCTTACTTTCTATTAATTATTACTTTCTTCTATACACAGTAACCTTTCTGCTCAGTAATGAGATACTGTGGGCATGAGAGGAAAGCAAAGTGAGCACTGATATACATCCTTAAATGTATTTGCAGTCTATGCAGAACTAATGATCGCTTTGTTTTCTTTTAATGACTTTTGCTTTGGCTTTAAATTGATATATATATA